AGAAAATAATCCAAATATTAATCTACGCCACGGCCTTTTCCCAATTCCACCTTTCCGAAAAGAATCCCTAGTTTCACAAGCCAACAGAAACAACAAATATATCAAGAATTCAAAAGAAATCCTTAAAATCCGTCATCACAATTCAAACAATATTTCTACATATGAAAAATCCCCTTTAAACAGAAAGTAATTTTTCTCTTGCCACAATGAATATATATGAAAGTTTCTAAATTCTTTTAGTAACTAACAACATTTTGCTTTTTGTTTGTAGGTACTTTTTGTTTATAGGTTCAAATAAATTCATTTGTTTTTAGATACTTTTTACATATATATATATATATATATATATATATATATATATATATATATATATATATATATATATATGTGAAAAGTGTATATAAATATAAATAAATATATATCTGTATAATTATTTATATATTATATGCGCGGTACTTATTAGAAAGCGCTCATTTCCGCCACACTTCCAATGTTTAAATTTCAACATTTCAACATACAAATGCGTATGTATAGACATAACACCACCCGTATACATACATGTGTCATAGCCGAAACTGCCCACATACGTTTATGTATGTATGAGTCCCGACGGACGACCAAGTATGTATATGTGTCTGCATACATCGATGTTTGCGTTAGTACGATGAATGACAAAACGACGAAATTTCCCCCACCACTCCCATAATAACACCAATACACGGAATCTACATAAACCCAAATGTTTTAAAACATTAGTCAGTTTGTCTGACGATCGCTAAAGCGTGAAACCCAGGGTCACAAACTCACATCTATCCAACCAAATATATATATATATGTGTGTGTGTATGTATGTATGTGTAGAGATAGATAGATAGATAGATAGATAGATAGACGTACATGAAAATTATCACCAGCTTGGTTTTAAGAGATTTTCGCTCGAACCGATACTTTCTCAGCATTAACTGTTATATATATATATATATATATATATATATATATATATACATGAATTATTCACACAAAAACTAATGCAAATGTTAATGATTTAAATGGCGAGACATCCATCATCGCAAACAATTCAAATAATATACAAAAAACTCCGTATCCGTTATGAATGAAATGATCCTTGTTTATATAAATTTCTGCCGTATTAGTTCTTATTTTTACTACAAGCTTTCGTCTGTTCCTACAGACATCTTCAGGTATAGAATAGATGTTGTTCTCGTTTTTTCTCTTAGTAATAAGAGGACAACGAAAATATATGTCTTGTTGTACCCGAAAATGCTATTGAATATGAGTTATTGTTTTTGAAGCGCGCAAAAGCAAAGCTGAGTTTGATTTTAAATTTTTAAAGTTTGTGCGTTCATAGAAAATAAGGTGATGAACAAATTTTTTACTGGTAAATTTTTCTGTCAAAGTGGCATGAACTATATTGTTCAATAATTACAGTAATGTCGCACTTATTATCCAAAAGTCGCACTTGGATCAGTTATTTAAATTACGATAAACGTGCAATCAATTTACAAATACATGAATTATTCACACAAAACTAATGCTAAGAATCCGGTGTTGCAATGATTATATTAAAAAATAAACAACTATAATATATATATATATATATATATATATATATATATATATATATATATATATATTATGCAGTGTTACATACCCACTACAATACTGTACATCGTATTTCAACGTTAAAAATATTTTAACGTTTCATTTTTAAATGAATATTTATTGGTTTACTTTTGTATTTAGCCCTGTCTTAAATTAATGTTTTGAACGCTGAACTCTTAGTTCTTTTATATTTGTATATATATATATATATATATATATATATATATATATATATATATATATATATATATATGTGTGTGTGTGTGTGTGTGTGCGTGCTTGTGTATTTATATATACCTTTTCATATATATGTATTTTGTCAGTCATTTTAAAAGAAATATGTACTTAAGAAATACTGCTACCCAATTTCACTACTGTAGATAGTTATACAGAAACAGTTTACGCATATGAAACAATACTGAATGCTAATCGTCGGTTACACGTTTCAATGCGATCTCCAGACCAAGACTGAACATCTCATAAAAGCATGAAACTAACAGTTATACAATAGGAATTAAGATTGCAATAGGTTAATCATCATTTTCACCTTATAAATTAAAGTAAGATTTACAAGGATTTTTAAATCAGTCAATGTATGATAATTTATTGAATTTTTTTTTTTCAATAATTTATCATCCATTGACTGGTTTGAAAAATCCTTGTCAATTCTGTTTTAATTTACAAGGTGAAAAATGATCATTAACCTATTGCAATCTCAATTCTTATTGTATAAAATATGTTGCTCTGTTTATCTGCTTAATTAAAACATTGAGCTCTCTGTATGAATCAGTTTTAATATATAATATTTCATTTTGCATTAATAGGATTCACTTGGATTATATACCAACGGATTATTACACATGCACACGCGCGCGCGCACACACACACAAACACACTTATATATATATATATATATATATATATATATAGAAAGATTGAGAAAAGAAAGAAAAGTATATATATATACATACACACACACACACATATATATATATATATATATAGAGAGAGAGAGAGAGATAGAAAGAGAGAGAGAGAGAGAGAGAGAGGAATAGAAAAGGAAGGAGAGAAATGATAGAAACAAGAAAACTGTCCAAATCGTGTAACAGCAAATCTTTCGAATTGTTAGATTAAATTTGAACCGTTGTATATTAGAAATGATTAAAGATATCTTACTGGAATACTAAGTGGTTTCTGTGACACTACTGGACGCTACTTTAAACAATAAGAATGTATTTAGCTCCAAGTTAAAATGATGATCCCTCTTAATGTTGTCACATTCTGATCTTTTATCTTCTCTATTGTTCCCTCTTTTTTTATTAACCATTCTCTTGATGGTTTTTGAATTAACTTCGAAGATGGAAGCCAGAGTATGACTTTTGGTAACATTACTGAAGGCCTAAATGAAGTTTTTCCTCTCCCCGTTGCTCAGTTGGGAAGACATATTGAGGCTGACAAAAAAAGATTTTAAACTGTTCTCTTTTTAGCTGAATAACTCAAAGGGCTTTTCAGTGATTCTTACGATAAATGGTGTCAAGATGGGTAAACGTCTTATCTGAAACGTCTTATCTGTTTAGTGTTTGTTTAGACATTAAACATTTTTTAGGATAGACAATTATCCCGTGCTATTACACGATTTGGAAAATGTTGCTGTTACATATATATATATATATATATATATATATATATATATATATATATATATATATATATATATATATATATCTGTGTGCGTGTTTGCGTAATGGGATTTTAGGTTTTCTTTCTGAACATTTACCTTCAAATATTACCCTTGTCGAAAGTCAAAAAGTCCCTCTTCCTTCAACTATAAAATGAAGTAAACTAAGTTCTCTTGCCATGTTTGGAAGCTAGACAACCAGAAAGCCCTGTATTACAACACCATGAAGTAATAATGCAGACTTTGGCTTTCGTAGGATAACGGTTCTTGAATTAGAAGAATTCTGAATTCAGCACCACGTTGAAGATGAAGATGGAATTACTGCAAAGACTATCTTACTCTAGACACGTCTAGTACTTTCATATTGCGCACCAACGACTTAGAAGCTTTATGGAACTCATGATTTATATATATACATATATATATATATATATATATATATATATATATATATATATATATATATGTACAGATTCATATCTATATATATATATATATATATATATATATATATATATATATATATATATATATATATATATATATATATATATATATATATATATATATATATATATATATATATATATATATATATATATATATATATATATATAATCACGAAATTCTACACGTACGCGCATACGCAGACGGGCGAATAGGAGAAACTGCACGAACACATATGCACATACACACTGTGAAAAAAAACTTGGACCAATGAAAATTGCATATAAAAAGATAAATAGAGAATTATAATCAGTCAGTTATACTGATACCCCCTGACGAGTGGAAGGAGTAATTCCCCGAGTTTCCGTCTTGAGTCGGGATGCTGAAGATAACAGAAATGAGATGTGACAAAACTTTTATCTATATATTCGACTCTCCCGTCGAATTCGACGTATGAGGGTCAAGCAGATCAATTCCTAGACAACAGCACATGCGATTTGATTATAGTGGTGAAGGTTTCGTGCAGGACCATCCACACATTTTGGAGGGCCGAATACAGAGACTGGTGCATTACGTGCCACAAGGTCCCCAAACGACCCTCCGCAGGTTTTGAATTCCAATTTTGAATTCCTGCTATTTACCCATAGCTGGAGGGAGAAGACGAGGATTCACACCTTTCCCAAGGGTATTAGCACGTAAGTGAATGTAATGCATTCGACTGGAATTCGAACTCGGCTCTCCGATTTCTCAATCCAAGCCGCCTCTACTTACATACTTACATCCATATATATATATATATATATATATATATATATATATATATATATATATATATATATATATATATATATATATATAGAATAAAAGGTATGCTATATTTATGGGATAAAATGGTCAAATATATATATAAATAAATATAAGCGGTGTGATCAGAGGTATCAATAGCCAATCGCGATAGTCGCTATTCAGTGTTGAGCTCTATGTCCACACTGCTTATATATATATATATATATATATATATATATATAATTTGTTCATTAGCTATATGTCCACACTGCTTATATATATATATATATATATATATATATTATTTGTTCGTTTTTATCTTTGCACGTAGGACGGCTCTATCTAATCTATTGCTTATTGTTTATATATATATATATATATATATATATATATATATATATATATATATATATATATATATATATATAGTATAAAGTAAACTAAAATTTCTGGATCTGGCCGAAGCTTACGCCCATATCCCGTCGAAACACTTGTTCCCCTAAGAACACTGAAATTAAGCGGCGTAGAGCCTGATCAGTACCTAGATGGCTGACCGTTTGAGAATACAAGTTGCTGTAAACTAGGATGTGCGGGCGGTATAATGGATAATGGCTCAAAATTGTTAATCGGAACGGAGTTCCAAATCGGAGAGAAAAGGTTCGTTATATTCGCTTACACCATGGTATCAATCCACATCTTCTCCCTCCGGCTATGGGTTAATTGGTAATACTTATATCATTAATCATTGTTATCTCAAAAAAAAAAAATTCTTACAATCTAAAAAAAAAATCTGGCTTTAAATAACCTGTAACAGGTTGATAAGCCGTAGGAAACGATCAGTCAGCCTCACAAAGAAGCACTTTACATTAAAAAAAATGATTTTCGGAAAGATTTTTTGATAGTGAATCAGGCCGAGAACTTTTCGGCACCGCAACGTCTTCCCCATAAATATTCGTTCATCCGCCTTATGTCTATTTTGAAATATCCATTCGCATCGTCCTAACCCCTCTGCATATATCTTCCGACATATTATCCATTGTCCCTGTATTTTCACCCTCATATAAAGGCGATCTTCCTGTTCAGTTAGCGTTCTCCGTGCACACAAGTACGGCTTACTGCACATGTCCAGTCCTGGCTACATGTTTTTCGCCCTGCCCCCTCCAGCAACCTGGATGCCGGTCAGTCTGTGAGCGAACAGCCGAACCACCAACCCCACCGAACTTCTGCTTGGAACCCTCCGCTGGCAGCCGCCTCTCCAGCACTACCAGTAACTCCCAAGCAAGCAAGCGAGCACTTTTCTCACATAGCGACCCAATCAAACAACTTCAAGAGATATATGCTTCTGACCAAATCAGCGGCCTCTCTCCAATTGAATTGTTCTTACTTGTCTATTCCGGTCATTTCGTAAGACCAGTCCTTTCCCCACACACCTACTTTTCTTTTTCATATTTCCCAGATGCTCAAATTCAATCGCTCCTTTTGTCACTCTGGCATAATCTTCACTCTTTCTGTCTTGGTTTGGGTCCGGAAGATGCTAGAGTTTGGTTCTTCTGTTTTACATTCATCCACACTTACAGGCAAATACTTTTCCCAGATTATCTCCCTTCAAAGGTATCGATTCTTGCAAAATGTTCGCTTCCATCCCCGCCACTTTTTTTCTTAGATGATCTCCAGGGGTTGCCATGCGTACTTATTGCATTTTCAGCTAATGTTTCCATGTATTTTCTTATCAACTGAGGCTCTAATGTGACAGGCTACGGCCCGGCCCAGCCTGGCGATCAGTCAATTACAGAAAAAGCAACCGATTACTGGAAAATTCGCTCATGCGTCACATAGTCTATACACACGGGTAATCTCATAGAGATTCTGGACGCCAAAATACACACTAACGAATTTGCAGTTGCAGCGTATCTCACAAAGCCTTTAATAATATGGCATGCGAATTTAGAAGAAACGAAAATTGGTCGACGACAAATGTATGTGAAACAATCAAAAAAAAAAATAAGTGTGAGATGCAGGTAGGGATATTGAAGGCAGAGAGACAGAAAGATGGACAGGGAGGTAATTTTACTTTGCAAGTCCTAAATGACTGGAGACAAAGTGGGAAAAAGAAGCCAAGTTAGATAAAAAAGCATATCGATAGCTATGAGATAACATCCCCAAAAAGCGCGCGCATACAGAGATCTACACCAGAAGACTATACGAATCCTTCTTATTCTTCTTGTTTCATTATTCATTTGAGGGATTAAGAAAACTAAGTCTCCTAACTGTCTGTATCCCAATGCGATCAGTGAGTAGAGAAAAACGTGTCTCGGTACATTATCTTTCTTTGTTAATAGGTTAAATTGTCCAGTTCTCTACCCGACGACGTGTTCCATGTGTGTAGTCTGTGAAGAAATGAACACAAAAAACCCCAGAAAAATGCTTTCGAATGAGATCAAGAACAAAAACAAAATTCTAACCATTACTAATTACTGATCAGCAAGTTCTTCCTTATAACATTTCGCGAGACCCCAGATGCAAAATACACCGAATAATGCTATTAAGACTGCTGAACGCTTAAGAACCATGCATTTGTATTTTTTTTTAAATTCTGAGATTGTCACGAAATTAAAAAAAAATAAAGAGATGTGTTTCTCTTAAACATTAACATTAAAAGTGGCACTTATTATTAATTGCCAATTTTAATGTTAATGTTTAAGATAAACACATCTCTTTATATTTTTTTTTATTTTGCATGTTAAATGAAGTCTTAGGGGCGAGCAGTTCTCTAAAATTAACATATGATGTAAATTAGAAATAGAATAACCTTGTACGATATTATATGTAAAATAGCACTATTCTATCAGTTACACTTGCTTTAAATCCTAACGAATGTTCTTCCTAATTTTAATGGGTTTAAGGCAATGACGTATTTTTTTTCTGTACATGTCGAAGGTTACCTTTCTTTTAATGAAGTCGGCAGAAGTTCCAGTACAATAAAAATCTATTTTTCTGATTTTTTAAGTACGAAATACAGGCAGAGAACTGAAACTTGCTACAAGTACATTTAAATTTAAATTAAATTAAATCAAATTAAATGAGGCAGCCCATATTTTATTATTTTTTTTTGTTCCAATGAAAACAGTATTTTGCTATGACAGAAAATGACAAAATCGAAGTAAGTTCAGATTTAAGGTCATTGGTAATCGAACATGTGAGTAACGACAAAGTCTTGGAGAAAATGTAAACAAAAAGGAAACTAATACTTAATATCAGGAGAAGACCCTTGAGGTTTCTGGAGCACACAATGAGGAGGAGGGCTTGGAAAATCTGATACTCACGGGTCAGTGGGCAAGAGAGACAGCGGAAAACGCATAACATACTTAGTGAGCTTGAGTAAATGGCTGGCGGAACAGTTTTTACAATAAATTTAATAAACAAATTGAAACTATCTAAAAATTTGACACTAAATTAATCGTTTAACATTTGACAAAAAAGGTTCAAAGCAAATTTATGCTTTTGAGCTTTATGTGTTTTGCATAATAACATCAGACGGACTGTATATTTCTTACAAATCTTTCTTATAAATTTGCTTAATATAACTTGCCTATTTATTTGTGGTACACTGGGAACGGTCAAATACAGTACCTAATGACTGCTCAGCATAATTGCAGTGTAAACCACAGGTGGGCTCGGTGGGTGTTGAACAAACAAAAATGTGCCTGAACAGCCGACTGCAACAGTGATTAGCTAGTCACGCTGGCATCCTTGCATACGAACGTGCAGTCATGGGAGAAAAAGAAGATATATTTGTTTAATAAATCATGTGTGTATCTGTGTGTGTGTGTTTATGTGTATAATTTTTATTTATTATAATTTTATAATATAGACAAAAATTGTTCTTAGCAGAACAGACTTCAATAGGCCCCTTTTGCCGGCTATAAAACAAAAACACTTGAGATCGAGATGTTTCCTCCTCTACGTGCGTGTCGCTATCATAGAGTCATAGCGTAAAACGTTATGTTATAATGGAAAGTACGGTGTTATATTTCGGATATCAAGAGTCATGTATTGAAAGATACATGATCGCCTACGCGTGTATCACACATGGCACATAACTGACTGACTACTGCTTATAAGACTTTTTTTTTACAGATCTTGTAATAGGTTGAACATATTGTATCAACAATAATTGGTTTCACCGTTTTCATGAAATTGATATTACGAATGTATATGCTTATAAATTTCCGTAAATTTCAAGATTAATTATTCCAATATTCGAGGATGAAATAGAGTTGGCTTTTTAGCTCCTATTTTTGAAACATGAGAACTCCTATGTAGCGATGGAATCATATTTTTAAAAAAATAATTATAATTTAGGCTCATGTATTGAGAACTGTTTTTTTTAAATAAAAAACAAAAATACTAAAGACATTTGGATTATTAATCTAACGGTTCTTTCTTATTTTTTATATATATATATATATATATATATATATATATATATATATATATATATATATATATATATATATATATATGTGTGTGTGTGTGTGTGTGTGTGTGTGTATAAAATGAAGAATAAAGAATAAAAACCGAAGCAACACAAGTTTCACCTAAAAAATTAACGATAATGAACGTAGGTTCAAGTTTATCTTCTGTTACTCGAAGTTTACGCATTTAATATAGAGAAATATATATTTTATATATGGATTTATGAGTCATCCGAATTAGATATTAGCTCTAGATTAAAGGAGGCACGGTGGAGTAATGGATAGCGGCTTGGATTGAGGAATCGGAGAGCCGAGTTCGAATTCCAGTCGAATCCATTACATTCACTTACGTGCTAACACCCTTGGAAAAGGTGTGAATCCTCTTTCTTCTCCCTCCAGCTATGGGTAAATAGCAGGACAGACTGGGTTCTATAGCCTTGGATGGCAACTGGTCTAGGAGAAGGAAAACTCTGAATTCAAACCTGCTCTTAGAGGAGCCTTGGTTGGCAATCCATTTAGTGTTGGTGTCACTATAAAAACACGCTTGATAGCCCTAGCGAAGCATCAAGAATTCAGATATTTGACAAGATTATGCGATACACCAATCAAAGTATTGGTGAGTTCAATCTCGGCTGAGGCCGCAAGATGATGATTAGCTATATATATATATATACGTGTATTATCTGATCAAAGTGGTATAATAACATCTAGCTAGCCACAATTTACAAGAACCATTAAGCAAATTCTAGTCGAAACTAATAAAAATCTATATAAATCAGATTACCGTAAACATCCCACTATAAGCAGTAACACATATATTAAACATCTCTCTCCCTCTATGAACATCACCTTATTTAACAGTAGGAATGGCGTGTTTAACAAAAACAGGAAGACGCTCACTCAAATTCTACGCTGAAAATTAAACGATACAGAACCTAGTTTCAAGTTTACGCATTAAATATAAAGGATCATTTTTTGGCTCCGATGTGAGCGTCGCCATTATTATCTCCACAAAATTGTTAATGCAATATACACTTGCAAAAAGAAATTAAGTATTATTCATACAATAAAAATTGTTTCGGGTTTAAGATTGATAAACTGTAA